GCTAATTTCTCAGCTTGTTTGATTTACTGTTAGTTGTTGCTAAAATGCCAGCATCGAGCTGTGAACTTTGGAGGAAAATCTTTGAGCGGATGAGAAAAGAAAAGACTACAAAAACTAAAATGAGATAACACTCAAACTGACAGGTCTGCAGATTGCACTGAAGCTCGGTTGGCATGTGTGATACGTGTTGACAGTTCGTGGGTTCATGGCCAGCCCGTCCCGTCTATCACTCCGGCCTCACACCCTGGGCTTACCTGTCCCATGTGTCCCGGCTCTGTCTGGTCAGGCCTGTTGTTTCTGGAAAGCACTTTCATCCTGATCCTCATCACTAATTCATCCGCTTACGACCTCCATCCATCAGTGCTAGCTCAAGTATGAAAACACCTCAGGCTAACTCACTACAATAGCGGTCTGGCTTCCTCCTTGCACCATGAAACCTGCTCTGCTTCTTTCTCTTTTTCTACTTGAGAAAAACACCATCTTTCTCCCAGTTTGGCTTTTCTTCTTCGATTTCTCTCCTCTATTAGTAACTGTCAGAGTTTTTTGTTTTGTGCCTCTTGTATTCTCTGTTTATTCTATTCTTTTACCATTTATTTCTCCCCTCTCTCTGTTTCTTACTGCGTTTATCCCTTAGATGGAAGCACTGCAGCGAGAGCCACTGACAAGATAATGGCCTTCCTCTAGTTAGTCGCCTAAACACAGTAATGCTAATGTTAGATCTTTGTGTGCGTCACAAATATATTCCTGGCAGCACGTGCTTCCTAATTCTAATTTACCTGTTTTTCTATTTTTCTTCTTCTTCTTTCTTTTCTTTGGTTGTTTGTATTAAAAATGCATGCGACTCGTCTGCAGCACCGCTGCACAGAGATCAAGGTTGCAGACTTTTTTCACGTCGCCAACTTATTTATTTTTTTAATGTTTTTGTCCCCTTTCAGATCTGGCCTTTGGCAGCCATTTAGATCTTGCGTATGACTTAAAAATACACGGTTGTCAGCCTGTGAAATATTAGGTTTGCTCAATTGCTCGAATGCTGATTCCTCGGTGATGGAAGCGTTTCCAGCTGTCACCTGTGCCAGCCAACATCCCAATACTTAGAAAACCAGTGAAGTCAGTCCACACAGGATTTATCCACGCTAGAAACGAGGTTGTACCGAGGTCGCTGTTTATCTTTTGGTCATTTGGTCTCTTGGAATTTTTAAGTTCACCAATTCAGCGGACTGTTGTAAATCTTTGTGTAACTATTAATGATCCCACGGCAGTAAACCAATCAGCCACAACAATAAAACCAGCCGTGGGTCATCCCACCATGTTTACCCTCCCTAACCCAGTCATAGATTCAAAGACTCCAGACGTAGTTTTAATGGGAATTATGCAAAATTTTAGACATCTGTTGTCATTAGTTTCAGGAGTGCAGTTCAAGTTAACACAATGACAGTGTCGCGGTCCTGGAATTGTTTGCCCTGCGTTTGACTATTTGGAC